TTAAGAGAGGTTAGTGGCCTGATCTATGAAGCTATAGTGGCATTTGCAATAGATGTGATCATATACAGATCTTTGTATGACAAAGGGATCCTGCCTGAGGATACCACTGGCATGAGTCTCCCACTGCACAAAGGTGTTCTTCCATGGAATATGTTCCCCAGAGTGATATGCCCTGGGCAACTATGACAGGATGAGTCACATAAATTCCCAAAGGTATCACTGGCGATATTATCAGAAGTCCTTCCCCAGCTGTAAGACTGACATACTGGACAGATTTCATTTATGCATCATAGGCACAGTGCAATATTTTGAAGAACTGATGATGTTCTCCCTCAAGCGGGCTTATTTGATTCATGATGGCTTCTTTTATTTCTATTTCTGTTTCTATGACTCCACTATGTTCCTCCCTGACTGTACCATGCAATGCGACTTGCAAGAGAGCAATATTGGATACAAGAAATAGTCTCAGAGGAATCTAGCTTAACTTCTCTAAGGCCTAGACCACTTTATTGAAATCCAGCCCTGGAGTGACATACCAGGAATTAAGCACTGTCACTAGATCCAAACTAATATTAGACAAGGAGGTAAATGAATTGGAAAAGGGTTGGTACCATGTAAGCCTAGTACTTTTCTTTGCTGGAAATTTTACTTGATAGACAGATGCACTAACCCCGTTTACAATTTCTGTGGGACCCATCCATCTAGGGATGAACACATGCTCTTTTTCTGAGCAAAAGTGGTACGTTGTCTCCTATTTCCCAACTCATGTCCCCAAGATGACCTAGTCTTTTCTTTACATTATGGTGGTTGTCCTTTAATTGAATGGAACCTGGTACTGAACACTACTGATGACATGTAGAATTTTGCACATGTATAGATCTAATTGTATTCAATGGTGACATATGTCAGATGGTGGTCTCCAACTCACCATAATTCTGAGGTTAGGTTAGTTATGTTGTGAAAAAATTAGTTAATCCCATAAGTCTGGGGTTAGGTTAATTGTACGGTGAGAAAAAAGTTATATACAAATTTAAAAAAAAATAATTTTGAGTGTGTCTTCTTTTTATAAAGATTTGAAAAAAAATGGTAAGCTTGAAAAAACCCCAACCCCAATGAATTTACATGAAACATGTCTGTGCTTGAGAACAGGGCCATTTTTAATAAAACAATTTTATCAGCTCCCATGGAAAGGTCACAGTTTATATATGCTCCTTTTTTCCCACTGTGTCATGCCAGAAGCTGGTGTAACTCATTAATAAGTCCGGCTACATCTAGACTACATCGTAAAAGGGATGTAAATTAGATGTATCGCAATTGCTTATGAAGCAGGGATTTAACTCTCCCGCGCTTCATTAACATAAAAATGGCTGCTGCTTTTTTTCGGCATGGAGCTTTGCCGGAGAAAAGCACCAGTCTAGATGCTGATCTTTCAGAAAATAAAGCCTTTTCCAAAAGATCCCTTATCCCTCTTGAAATAATAGATAAGGGATCTTTCGGAAAAGGCTTTATTTTCTGAAAGATCAGCGTCTAGACTGGCGCTTTTCTCCAGCAAAGCTCCGTGCCGAAATTAAAGTGACATCCATTTTTATGCTAATGAAGCACGGGAGATTTAAATACCCGCTTCATTAGCAATTGCAATACGTTCCACGAGGACTAACGGTAGTTCAGAATAGGAAGCCTAATCCGAACTACCTAGTTTGTGCCGCGTGTAGCTGCGGGCATGGAGTCCAAACTAGCAGACATTTAAAAATGGCGGCGCCCGGCAATATGCAAATGAAGCCCGGGAAATTCAAATCCCGGGCTCATTTGCAACTCCGGTTGCCTACATTAACTACCCTAGTTCGAACTAGGGTGGTAGTGTAGACATACCCTTAGTATCATTTGTACTATGCTGTTGCCTGAAGGCCCAAGTGTGATTGAGGCTCAGTTGTGCTAGGCAGAGTACAAGTGTGAGAGGGCTCCTGCACCCAAAGAGCTTAAAGTCTGAAAAGAGGAAGTAAAGTAGTATTAACCCCATTTTACATAGTGATGACTGAGGCATGGTGACTTTAAGTTACCTGCCTACGGTCACACAGTGAGTTTGCAGAAGAATCAAATATCCTGAGCCACAAGACAGAACCTTTTTAGTCACAAGACCATCTTTTCTGTCTTGGAAGCTGACTGAGATTTGATGTATATGGTGGTGACAGAAGCTCATATCCCTGGAATTTCAGGGGGTTTTTCTTCAGAAATTGCTCTTGCCTTAATCAACAGCATGACACAAATTCAGAACAGTTTACAGGTTCAATCCACAATGTGCTGGATTCCCCTCCTGAAAATAGAAATCCCATTTAAATGCATTTGGACAGTGTCAAATCCACTACTCATTCATTGCCAGTGAGGCGCAAATAGTATCCCCTGTTTCACCCTTGAGATTTGGGTAGAAAAACAACTATGCAATCAAGGAAGCTGCCTTCCATTTAAACAGTGGATGTGTCAATTTCTGATAAGTATGACGTGTTCTTTCATGTTCACCAGTGTGACCAGGATGTTGCCTGCTGGGCAGGTCTCCAGAAAATGCCTGTTATTGCTCAATACATAAATCCTATTTGCTTTCTGCCCTCTTATGCTTGATAGGTGGAAACTAAGTGTCAGATATGCATAGACCGCATACGCAGCATGCCCAGTATATATAAGGACAGGTCCTGATGGAGCATTATCATCAGTGGAATATTATTGTTCCTTGTAGGAGGCAAAGTCACTTGAAAGAAGATAGGACATTTAAACTGTAAGTGATAGAGGGATTTGGTGCGGGAGTTCAGAGGATGGCTGGTGCTGGTTTTGCTTATGATTTTCCAAGTGGAGGAGAGGAATGCAGCTACACTGCTGTCGTTATTTTTCTTGTATCCTGCTTGGATGAAGCTCTTTTATCAGCTCAAATGGGTGTATTTGAAACATGCTGCAACCAGGTGTCCTGAACAGAGACTCTGCAGCTGTTCTTTGCTCTTTCTTGGGAGATGGGAAAGGAATATGTTGGGATAGTTTCATATCAGATCATTTCAAACAGGAGAACAGGTTCCATCAGCCGTAGATGGACAACTAGATCAGTTGGATCAAGCGATTTGGATTCCATACATCAAAGGTTCATGCCCACCAAATTTCTGGAATTGGGGGCTGAGAAGGCAACTAATTCAGAGTTTGTGCACACTGCATTCCAGGAATGAGAGCTGTGCACTTTGGGAACACTTTAAGCAATATTTGGCCATTATCCATGCTGCTGAGTTGGAAGATTCCATTGACTAAATTGAAGTTGTATGTGCTTGGTGCCTCTGATCATCACAACAGTTACTAAGGTGCTTAAAATGGATTTAGGTGCTTAACTGCAAGCAGTACCGGCCAGATCTTCTGCAGGTGTAAATAGTTTATTTTCCTGGATTTCAGTGGGCCTCAGGTGGTATATGAAGGTCTGAATGACACTTTGAAAATTTTAGACAAGGTGCTTAAAAGCTGCTTTGTGAATCTCAGCCTAGGTCCTAGAGACAGATAGGCTGAGATTTGCAGAATCATGGCGGCAATTCAGCTGTGCATCTTTTAATAAGTGCAATGGAAGCTGTATGGCCAAATGCTTGGCACAGCTTTGAAAACCTTCACATTGATAGATGTCTCTCTTAACCCTTTAGGGCAATCATTTAAGCACAGAGGATTTGTAGTACGGTCTTTCCCCCTTTAAGTGCTTTAGTTCACTTTAAAAAAGTCACTGATTCTTTTCAGAATAACTTTTTTTTTGTTAAAATGTACCTGTGCTTGAAAAAATGGGATCTAACATTAGAGAATTGGGACCAAAATATCCATGCCCTTGTTTAATCAAAGATTGGATGTTGTGCTTGCAGCGCTGTCTGCACAATGTATTGTGCCCTCGCAAGTTTTGACAAAGCCTTAGGAAATATTTCTACAGAACTCAACTGCATTATGAGGTTTCCAAACTGACTAACTGGTGTTTAGTTTTGATAACTAACATCCTGCTACAACAAATGACCAGTTATACATGATAGAACTGTTGTCTACTTAATTCACCTCTTAGCACAGAGACATTTGTTACACTCTAAACAATTACAGACTTTTAGGGGGAGATCATCAGCCAGTGTAGTGCAATGTAGCTTTTTTGACTTCAATGGATCTGGGCTGGTTTACCTCAGCTGTGGATCCTAAAATCAACCTGCTCCAGGATTTATTAGGATAGGTGAACTAATAGGGCAAAGAGGAAGAGAGAGGCTTTCAGAGTTCCCATAGATTCTTAAGTGCTTTTACTACAGGAAAAAAATTGCCTGTGGATCAGCACATTTGAAAACTAGGCTATTTGTTTAGACACCTAAATGTGGATCTAGAAGTCTAATTTTAGGCACCTCTTAGAATGTCTTAGTTTTAACATGCCTGTAAAGTGTGAGTATTTTATAAACTTAGTGGATTGGTAAACTGAGACGCAGAGAAAGTTAGGGCTAAAAATGACCTAATCTGGCACTATGGATGCTCTGGACAACTTAAAAATCAGATTGCATGTATCTGCTCCTCAGCAGGGGTAACTCAGCATAGATTCACTAAAGCTAATGGCTGGTAATTATGACCCATGCAGAAAATCCATAACAGTCAAACTAAGTCCTCTTGTTTTCCCTCACGCTCTTTGGTACCTGTCACACAGACTGCAGCCTATGGGTTACATTCTCCCCCTCCTCCATCCTTTGTGTGGTAATGCCTGTCTGTGTCAGTGGGAACTCTGAATGTGGAAGCAAGGTGGAATACAGCACTTTGGCTGGCTTTTGAGTTTGGACAGGCTGTCCATGGGGAAAGCAGAAAGAGTTCCATGATGAGAAGAACGTTCTAACCTGGAATGTTTGATTATAATTGTCAGTGCAGTTTCCGAGGCTACCATGATGCAATGACATTTTGTAGAGTATCTCTACAGAAAAGAGTATCTCTGAAGAAAAGCCTCCCAAGCCCTCATTCTCTCATTACTGTCTGAAAGCCACTTTTCATTCAAGACTTAACCCAAGGAAGTTCCTGATTATCATTAAGTTATGCATCTAGGTTGTGTGGAAATTCACAATAACATCAGAGTAGAACTCTTACTCCAGGCTCAGGGAGCTCTGCCACCCCAAGTTAGTGACTGATGTTCTATTAGTGCTTAGCATGGCTCCTAAAGGACATCCAATAAGCACATGGCACACAAAATGCGTGCAAGATCACTTTTAACTCTTGTAATGTGCATCCCAGCACATAAGAGAAGAGGAGAAATTCTTGTCTTGACTTGAATGTACACGGAAGTGAAACCTCCATGAGATTGCTGTAGCCGTGTGTGGCATTCAGCTCCGTGGGATGAGTATTTGAATAGGGGGATTTACCATTCAAGAAAACACAGTGAAAAGGGGGAGGGAGGGGGAAACTCAGCAGGGGAAATCCAAAAGCAAGAGTAATGGGTTTCTGTTTTTTCTAGTGGTGGTTATTCTTTGGCTTGTTGTCAGACAGTGAATGTTCTTGTGTAAAGGGACATTTAAGATCACTAGCCAACAAACATTATATGTTTGCATGGAACAACCTGGTTCTAGGTCTTCATTTAGTTATGCCACCAGTACTGAGCATTCTGTTAGGAATGTCTGGCATAAAGATGCCACTAAGGTTGCAGTGTGATAGGAAAAGTTTGGAGGGGAAATTTAGAATAGACTACAGCCTTGGGGAAGTTGTATGGAGAGAGACTCAAAATATCATTGGGTATTGTTTAAAATTGGTTATAGAGGACTTGCATATAAGGTCCAATTCAATGTCTGTTGAAATCCATGAGTGTCCTTCCTTTGATTTCAATGTGTGTTGGATCATCTGTACAGATAATTGAAGCCTCAGATAGCATAGTGATGAGTGCTATGATAGAATCTATGCTTAACAGATGGTTAAGATGCCCACTCTTCTTTTGAGAGTGATTCATCGCTCTCTGCTGGTTACTTTGAAAAATGCATAAAACAGTTGGGCCTAAATTTGCTTGTTATAATTTCTTTAACAGCTAAGAACTCTACTGAAGGAGACACTTTTCTGCACAAGAAAGGTCAAGGAAGTCCTCTGGTGTTGTACAGCAAAAGATCCCTAAAGTATCATTAGTTGGGAATTTTCCTAACACCACCATGTGCCTGTTCTCATTCCTAAAACGAGAGGAATCAAAGCCACAGGTGCCTACACTAAGGGGGACCCTTAAGAAGCCCACGAAACTTCTTTATCAGAACTACGAGACCTTGCTGGAGACATGCTTGAAGAATAAATGCCTGTTCAAGGATGAGAACTTCCCAGCTGACCTTAGCTCTATTGGAAAGGGGCCACTTCTACAGAAACTACCCCCAAAGCTACAGTGGAAGAGGCCACATGTGAGTGAGGTTCAGTGAATGGTTTTTATGTGAGGAATTGTTTAAGATGAATAACTACCAGAAGGATGAATAGCTACCAGAAAGATGGATAGCTACTAGAAGGACACAGCATCCATCTATCTAATATCTAATAGAACCTTTCTGCTTATCATCATGGTATCCACATTTTTTACAAATAGATTATTATAAGCAGAATTAGTCCCTTATATGGTTTAGCTTCTTCACTTCTTCCCTGATGGAGCCTTATTTTATTTGTTTGTTTGTTTGCATCCTTCTCCTCTTTCTTCCTTTCTCTCTTCTCTCCCTTTCCTTTACTGGTGTACTGTGTGATAGTCACATTGACTCTCTGAAATTGGCCTGCACTATCTAGTGCTGCTAGTCGCATATTCACTCTCTCCATCTGTGGAATTCTCAGAGATGTGAGCTAGTGTCCTGCTGGGGACAGAGGGTGCAGTAGTAATGTAGTGGTAGGTTAGAGCAGGATTGAATAGATGAGCCATTGTGGTCCTGGTGCTCTGGAAAAGGCTCCAAATGTTGTACTTCTATCCATGCACCTTGGAAGTCCATGAGTGGGTTTGAGGCCTTGTGCTCTGAAATCCCCATGCTGTTGTAGTAATGCCTCATTTGCAAGGGAGGCTGCCTCTCCTTCTCATTTGCTTTGGTGCTAGCCTAGCAAAATTTCATAGGGGAACATAGTGTGCTTCCTTCCCTTCCCACCCTGCAGAGAGCATGCTGCAATGGCGACGCTTGGACTGTAGGCCTGTGGCGTGCTGTGGCTGTAGATATATCGACCCTGAGGTTAGACACCTGCAGCTGGCCTGTGCCAGCTGACTCAGGCTCATGGGGCTCAACATAAGGAGCTGTTTAATTTCAGTGTAGATATTGGGACTCAGGCTCCAGCCTGACCTTCAAGGGGTTCCCACCTCACAGGGTCCTATAGTCCAAGGATCAGCTCAAGCAGTACTCTGTGACTGCTTGCCTAAGTACAGGTTGAGCAGTTTCATCTGGGGTAAGAGTTAATATTTAATCATGCTAAATGTCTTTTAAGTGCTTGGCATTTCTTTGATGGGGAAGGTGGCAGTATAAGGATAATAAAAGTGAATGAGAAGTTTGACATTTACTTAATGAATTTGACCAGAGAGGCATTGGAGAGTAATAATATGTCTTCTTTCTTAACTATTGCTTATGGCATTTTTATGGCCACAGAAAGTTCTTCAGCAGCCCTCAATTTTTTCCCTTGTTGTCTAGCCCAGTTATCAGTCATAGGCAGTGAAGACATGATAGGAGGTAGCCTCTGTTATGGATTACATCATCAGAATCCTTGCGTTCATGCATTAAAAATGCAGCTCTAAAGATCGAAGAACAAGTAGCTTTGTAGAAGTCCAAGACAAGAAATGTTGTCAAAGTTAAGGTTGACAGTAACCCAAGGGTGAAAACCTGACAGGGATTGTTTTAATTCTCTCCAAATCAGGCATTTCAAATACAGGAAATTCAAAGTTAAGGATGCTATCCCTAAAAGAAACCCAAACACTTTAAGGTAATAAATGTATAGCTCTGCTGTGTATTTCTACTATGAGAGGAACCAATGTATCATGAAAAATCATTTACTCTGTAACCACAAAAAACAATGCCTTGGTGAGAACTGTATTGTTGTTTCATGGCATCATTACCGGTGCTGACACCTGACCTGCTCAGCAGCAGAAGCAGCCCTGTCAGGAATAGAATTAGGTAACATTTTTCAGCTCAAATTTTCCTTTTGGTAACAAATGCAGATTTGGCAATACTGAAATGATTTGTGAATTTGTGTCAGTTCCACCAAATTGTTCATTTCAAACATTGTTTCACTGTCACATTTTTACAGTGAAATATTTTGGTTTTTCAGTTCGAAATGATTATTGGTTTTGCAGGTTCCATTCATGTTGTTAAAAAAAAGTCAGAAACATTTACAAACCATTCAAAGGGAGACACAGGCTTTTGATCAACCCAGAAAGATTTTTTTTCCTTTTTGAAATGGCTAACAATGAAAAAAAAAAGGCCCGATTCTACCAAGTGCCCTACACCATCTTCTAGACCTCCAGCCAGAAGCAATGAGATTGTATGTGAAAGAGACCTTTGACTCCTCAGAAACTCACTCCATTAGTGGTAAAGTGGCTTCAGAAGAAGCTATTCAGTTGTAGGGTTTCTGCAGGACCACTGCAATGATTTGACATTCTCTCTCTCTCTCTCTCTTTTTGGGTCTTGTATATTCCAGGAGCTACATAAAAATCCAGTATTTTATCCTGCAGCAATGAGATTGTATGTGAAAGAGACCTTTGACTCCTCAGAAACTCACTCCATTAGTGGTAAAGTGGCTTCAGAAGAAGCTATTCAGTTGTAGGGTTTCTGCAGGACCACTGCAATGATTTGACATTCTCTCTCTCTCTCTCTCTTTTTGGGTCTTGTATATTCCAGGAGCTACATAAAAATCCAGTATTTTATCCTGCAAACACAAGACAGCTTGATCTCTGTCAAGGATTGCTAGGTAAGACTGATTTCTCCTTTTTATATGTAGTATAGATGTAAACACATACAGCAATTTGTAGCTTAATTTGAATTATATAAGACTGCATAAAAAGAGAGTTGATTTCCATATCATTCTAGCTTTGTATATAATATAGATTAGGTAATTGTGTAATACATTCAACAAACAAGTCACAAGTTGAACCTCTCTAGTCTGACACTCTCTAGTTCAGCAACATCCATAGTCCGGCCTGATTTTAGTTAGTCAGCTATCCACTTATCATGGGCGCGGCCAAGTTTCATATGGTCGCATAAAATTTGTTTACAGCCACCAGTCTCAGTGTTCTGTGCTGTTATTTAGCTCTAATTTACCCCTAAATGTTTCCTAAGAGCCCAGGAAGCTGTGGAAGTGTTGGTAATGCTGCTAGACAGTATTAACTTCTTATGGTTCGGCAAATTCTCAGGTCCCCAGGGTGCTGGACTAGAGAGGTTCAATCGGTAGTGTTCTAAGCTAAGATGTGAACCAAAGAGATGAGAAGTGCCACAGCTAGTTGAAAGCTCTACTTTATGCCATAAACATGATGTTTCTTAGTGATGGTGCTGGAATATGAACGGATCTCATCTTCATACTTGTCTGTAAAGTGTGATACTTACTAAAGGATAAAAAGAGAAGTTTCATCTCTGTGCCTAGTTATTAGAGCATGTAATGTGTTTCATATCACATAGACAGCAGAAGGGCTTGTGACTACTGCAATATGTATATGTAGGCAGGTAGTGTGTTACCCTTGTCTTGCATCTATTTTGAAGAAAGAAAGAAAGAAGGAAGGCGGGTAAGTCAGTGAAGGTGTGTGAAGAACTGTTCTTTTGTAAAAACTTAAAAAACTTTGAATGGTTCTGCAGCACCTTAAAGACTAACAAAACATGTAGATGGTACCATGAGTCTTTGTAGGTACAGCCCACTTCTTCAGATGACTGGAGTATTAAAAGTCCAGATCCAAGAATAAGTAAGGGAAGGAAGGTGAGGGGGATAGAAAAAATAGTGAATTTGATTGTTCACGTTACAAGAAGCTGATAAGAACAATTTGCACCTCTATCAGTACCCATTGTTTGTTTGGTTGGTTAAGTCATTAGGATGTGGAAGGTAGTGTGTGAGACAGACAATATCTTTATTCATTCCTCCCTGATAGGAATCAAACTTGTAAATGAAGTTAAGTTCCAACGCTTCCCCGTGTATTTGGATTGTGGAATTGGCCTGAAACAACACTATGACTTTGAGATCTATTAATGAGTGCCCGGTCAGGTTAAAGTGTTCTCCAACAGGTTTCTGTGTGTTGCCTTTTCAGATATCTGATTTGTGTCCATTAATTTTTTCCCGTAGAGACTATCCAGTCTGGCCAATATATATGGCAGAGGGGCATTGCTGGCATTTGATGGCATAGATCACATTAGTGGATGTACAGTTAAATGAGCCCCTGATGTATTGGCTGATGTGGTTATTTTTTCAATGTACACTTAAATATTTTCACTGAAAAATTCTTTTTTGTGAAATTCCAAATTAATTTGTCTTTTATCCAAAAAGACTATGAGAGGACAGTTAAACCAAGAAACTTGTTTTGACTTAAAACACAAATCTAGCTCATCCCAAGTTTTTTTATGAAGTTATAACTTAAAAGCATCCAACCCATTGCCTCTTTCATAAATATTTGTCAATGACAGCAAACATTCTTGATTCCACTCCAAAGTATTGGCTTATTCTTTTGGTACAGAAAACTGCTGGTTTCTGGCCGCCTTGCAAGCGCTGACATTCCACCGAGACATCTTGACTGTGATTGTGCCTCAGTACCAAAGCTTTGATAGGAAGTACGCTGGCATTTTCCATTTCCGGGTAAGCATTCTTCCCTCTAGCACCGGAGGGCCACAGAAATCATGCATTATACTTGCTGGTGCCCTGGCTAAGATGGTGTTCTTGGCTATTCCATGTGCAGTTCCCTTTGCCCTCAGTGAGAACTGTGAACAGGTAACCCAAGTGAGGAAGGAGGAATCATCCCAACCCCTCTTTAAATGAAGTGATTCACTCAGTCAAAATAAAGTCACCCCTCTTGGTGAATATAAAAAGCTCAATTCCTCTACCCAGCTTTGGCTGCCTCTATGGTTATCTTATTCCAGCCTAAGTCTTCCCAATTCCTACACCTTCCCTCGGGACCCATTTGTTCCATATCTTTGCACACTCTCTTTTAGCATGAGAGCTACTCCTTTCTCTCAGCTGCACCTGTGAGTCAGCAGAGCCCACTGAACGTAATAGTCATCACCCCCTAACACAGTACTCTGGCAGCCTGTTACAGCTCATCGATAATATGGGGATCCTTTTCTATTGCTGAAGGGGAGTTTACTTCCCAATTAAATATTTGCTCATTCCTTTCCCCTGGCAGTTTTGGCACTTTGGCGAATGGGTCGATGTGGTAGTAGACGACCGACTGCCTGTCAATGAGTCGGGTCAGCTGATTTTTCTGTCCTCCGTTTGTAAGAATATTTTCTGGGGAGCCCTTTTGGAGAAGGCATATGCCAAGTAAGTGAAGTGTTGTGCTTTATGTAAGTGCCAACGCTGTGGGTACTCCATCCCTGGTGCATCCACAGGAAAAAATGAGTGGTTTTAGCACCCACTGGCAGTCAACTCCACCACCAGCATCTCCCACCTGCTGTTGGCCCTGCTGATTAGCTCCTCCTCCTCCCTCCCAGTGCCTGCCGCTTGCTGCAATCAGTTGTTTGGTGGCATGCAGGAGGCGCTGGGATAAAGGGGAAGGAATGGGGGTGGGGTGTGCTTAGGGGAGGGGGCGGGAAGAGGTGAGGTGGGGACAGAGTTGGGTGAAGGGTTGGGGCAGGGTTTCGAGTGGAATGGGGGAAGAAAGAGGCAGGAAGGAGGTGGGGGCTGAGGGAAGGGGTCAGGTGAGAGCAGTGCCTGAGGTGGAGTGAGGGATTGAGCAGCCCCTGGACCCAAAGGAAGCCAGTGCCTCTGGGGTCTTATGCAGATCCTCACTGTTTACTGTTTATTGCCTATTTCATATGCAGTTCTGTCTCTCTAACAAACAAGTCTGATAGAATTTGCCACATCTGGAATGTTGTGTGTGGTTCTGATCTCCATGCTTTTAAGAATTAAAAGCTACACCCGCATGATAATTTAGTACCAGTTACACCCCTTGTAAATGATCCAAAGAAAGAGTGGTCATGGAGACAGAAATATCTTCTGACCGTGGGAGATGGTTCTCCTTCTGCAGGGTTGAAATAGTTGGTGGGGTGGGGAAGTTCGCATTGCTACTACAAGCCCTGCATTTATTCTGTGACTCAATATAGGACGTTAGGCCAAGATTTGCAAAAATGACTGTTGATTTGGGATGCCTCCATTTTTGGATATCTAAGCTGAGAAATCTTAAAGAGGCGCAGTTTTCACACAGGGCTGAGCAGCCACCCTCTAAAAATCAGACCCTTTTAAGATGTCTCCTGCTGAGCACCCAAAAATGGAAGGACACGGTTTGAACCATTCCACAAAGTCACATGTGACTACTTCATTGCCACTCTCCAGGGCTGTTAATTCACCTCCAGCCATCAACACTAGGAAAGACACAGCATTGAGAAGAGCAAATTGGGTGATACACACCTTCATAAACTTACAAGGAGAGACTGGAGGAACTTAATGTATTTGGTCTGAAAAATGACCATACAGAAAGGGAGAGAATTCTAAAAATAAATATTGGAAGGGAGACAATATGAAAGCAGGGAAATGAATTACTCTTCTTGAGTCAACGAGAGACTAGCTAAAACTTCAGAAGATACCATTTTGCTTTGATGTTCTGAAATAATGTTATGAGTGAGGAAAATCCGACAGTGGACTAAAATCTTAATGGTGCAATTGAAATTCAGAAGAAACTAAGATATGATTATGAAAGAAATAGTGTAGAAGACCCTTTCTGTACTGCTTAGCAAAGGGGCTTAGAGTAGAAACATGAAACCAGAAGTCCCTTCCAAACTTGAAATCAATTATTTATATTCCAGTCTTCCTGAACAAGGAGGATTGGTATAAAATTACAATGGATCTCAATCTTCACTTTGTTTTTTCAAGCCCGTCCTGGGATTTGTCTCTCTCTAATATCACTCCATCCTTATTAGCTATGATTGTACAACAAATAAACAGTGGGTAAACTGATAGCTCTCTTTCTAGGTTGTATGGCTCATATGAAGATCTGCAGATTGGGCATGTGTCAGAAGCACTGGTGGATTTTACAGGCGGAGTTAATATGACTATAAAACTGGCCGAGGCTCCTCCTCATCTGTGGAATATATTGACAAGAGCAGCCTACAGCAGATCTCTCATGGGATGCCAGACACATATAGGGGTGAGAACCAGTCTGATGTCAAATGGATGGATAGACCAACACCAGCAAATCTTTCCTAGGAATATTTCCCTCCACCCAGCTGAGCAACAGTTTATTATACAGATCTTTTTCTCTCTCATTTTTCTATAGTTATGTTTCAAATTCTGTATTTACAAATCACAAATTTCTGTAAGAGTTTTGCAGCTCTTTTCTAAACTGTCCTTGGTGTTCCCCATTTCTTCTAATCTGAGAGGGTGGGTCTAGACTATGGAGTGGGAAGTGGAGTTGAACTACAAACCTACATCTGAAATTTGCAAATGGTCCCTTTTTTTGTAATGGGTGCAGCTAAACTCCCCATTCCACATGCTCTGCAGGCTAAGCAGTGTTGGGAGCCCAGATCAGACTTTTGCCGCAGGAGCTAGTGGTCCAAATTCTATCTTCATGCACACAAGTATTGCTCCCATTGGCTGCACTGGGAGCCACACCTCAGCACTGAGGGCAGCATTGGGCTCAGCTGTTGCTTTCTTGATATGTTTATTTCTGTTTTCTCTTTTTCTTCCCTATCTGCAGACAACCAGGGTCCTAAAGAATGGGCTGGTGGCAGGCCACGCCTACACGATCACTGGTATTAGAAAGGTAAGGACAGGGCAGGTCCTCCTGCTGCAAACTTGCAGCAGTCCCTGTTGGAGCCTTTGGTCAGACCATGAGCAAGCAGTGTGCTGATTTGGGTGTACATGCCATCCACTCCCTATTCAGCAATATCAGGGTGGCTTCGGACAGGTTCCCTTTCAAAACCACATTCTTTTCCCAAGCATGAATAAAGGATAGGGGATCCTGGCTCAACCTCAGCACAGATCTCAGGCTGCCATTGACTCATGGGCTCTGCTGATGGTATAACCTACCAGAGCATGCCAAGCAGAGCCGTCTAAATTCCTTTTATCTTACAGTGAAAGGGGCTGGCCTGTTTTAATTCTGGGAAGTGGGGGCATCTGCTACAACCTCGTTAGGCCATTACTGATGTGAGGTGCCTTTGGAACGAGAGGTGAGAGGCCCAGTCAGGGTCCTGTTAATGAAGTGCAGGGTGCCAGACTCTGGTGAGCCTAGTGCATGGGACCACAGCAGTCCTGCCACATCTGGGGAGGCTACCAGCAGCATTTGCCTAGGAACAGTCTTTGCATTCAGGGGCGCGCAAGTGTTGCTGCTATACCTGTGCAAAGACACAAGAAGGCAAGTGAGGAGTAAGGATACCCCCTTCCACCCTCTCTCCACCCCCTAAGCCAGGCACAATGCTCCCCTGTCCAATCCTCCAGTTACATTCAGATTCAGAAAATGCTAACTTTAAGGTTCTTGTAGTAACATCTTAAGCTTGGATTGTTAGTCCGACTGTGAGAAGTGGTCTTGATGGCACAGTCCTGCCTCAGATATGCAGGTTGATGGCTATGGAGTCACACAGCTGTTGGAGTGTGAGGGTGGTTTTATTGTGAAGACCTGCACTAGGACTATGGAGCTTTGGGTTCTATTCCAGGCGTAGACACAGGCTTTCTTCATGACCTTGGGCAAGACACTTAATCACTGTAGGCCAACTAATTACCATTCTCATCACACTTCTTGACATCAGTTAGTTTAGAGTTACACATTGAGCCAACTAATCACCATTCTCATCACACTTCTTGACATCAGTAAAAGACAGGAGTCACCACGTTACTCTCTGGCATGTTATGCAAATGTAAACCAGACAAAGGCTGCAGAGACCCTGGTAAACTCAATGTTATTTTGTGCAGGTGACTTGCAAATATGGACCGGAATATTTGGTGAGACTGAGGAATCCATGGGGGAAAATTGAATGGAAAGGAGCCTGGAGCCATAGGTGAGTTTGAAACAGGAAGGGGCTAGTGATGAGGAGAAGCGTGGGTGGATGAAATGGTGCTGCCACCTGCAGGCACAAATTAGTGCTGATGACACCTGCATTAAGAGAAGAATTGGGTCCGCTTTCAGACACCCTTTGGTTTCAAGGCAACGAGTTCATGGAGGTATTCTGCTCGATCAGCCAATGCTAAGGCAGTTCAACTAATTTAGTTATTTCACAGATGGTGCTTCCAAGCGCTTAAACCACAGAATGTTGGTTCTACTTTTTTTTTTTGTCAAAGAAACCTAATGTAAAGGGGGTTCTGTGTAATGCAAAATGATGAACATGGAGTGATCAGGGTCAGACACAAGTATTTTCTGATTACTAGTGAGGTTGCTCCCAGGACAGCTAGAATTGTAAGGTGATCTTCTGCTTTCCTATTTCAGAACATTTACCCCTTTGTCTGCAAATCATGCAAGATCCTATATATCCTGCAACTTCTGGGATTCTGAGATTAGAGTGGGGTTGGGTCTGACCTTCCTGCAATTTGGGGAAGTAGGCATCAGGCTGGGTCTGACTATGACAAAGTGGAAAGTACAATTAGAAATGGTGAGGGAAGAGGTGACAGGACCACCGAATCACATGGATGCAGTGGCTGGAACTTCCTTTCCCCCCAAAGACGGCATAAGAATAGTAGCCATGCTCCTCCATGGCTGTAAAAGGACTCTGTGGTAGCCCTGTAAAAGGACTGTGTGTTAGCCTCATTTTAGGCTGAGGCGGATTCCATCTTTAGCAGCTCCAGTTAGCTCCTTGCACAAATCCTGTTGGCTCAATTTTTGTGAGGGTAAAATTTTTGTGTGTGGACTTTGCCTTGTCTGATGAGAGAGTAACTTTCCTCTGATTTGTGTATGCCACGTGACAACATAATAGATGGCCACACTGAAGCATAGAATGAAGAGCATATTGAAGGCTAGACTTGTAAATCACTTCCAGCTACCTCTGGTACTATCCTATTTATTATGTAGAATATTCTGTCTATTACATGTCCTTTGACACAGAGCTGACAAAATAGAACCCAAAGGCTACATTTTAAATACTTGGAAGCAGCATGTGTAATCTAATGAACTGGCCAGTAGAAATGGTTGGGAATTTTCTAATACATCTTTTCTTTGGAAAATGCTGGTTAATTGAAACTAAATTGTCTTCTTTTCAGGAGAAGGCCTGTTTCAATTAACTTCCCATTAAAAAAAAGTTTCTAAATTGTTGAAATGCTCCATTTTGGTAGAAAACGTTCCATTTTTTAGGTCAAAATGTTTTCTTTAAAAATTAAGTAATTTATAGTGTGTGTATAACTTGTATATATCAAATTTTAAAATTGAATTGAAATAAAACATTTCAATTCTAGAGCACTTTTGTGCAAGAAGTTTTTGCTAAAAATCAAATATTTGGATTAACCTGATCCCATTTTTAAAAATTTTTGATCTGGGAAAATTTTTGAGATTTTGGCACAAAATGTCGACAGAAAATAATTCAAAATCTCAAAAATGCTCATGGAATGGGAAAGCCTCTATCTCTACTGGCCAATGTGCTATCCAACACTAATGTTCCAGGAGAAAATCAGAACTGCTCAGTTGTGTTTCACAGGCTCTCTCTGGCTAGCAGCTAATAGGGATTTTCTTTTAGTTCAAGCCTATCCTTTGGGAGGACTACAGGGATTTGGGTTCTATTCCTGTTCTTCCAGGCCATTGTGAGTGTTCCCACTACAGAGTCTAATGCTAACTGGGAAGTGTGTGGGGCCAAAGATGGGCTACAGCAGGAAGCGATTTTAGACTAGATATCTGTATTGAACGTTTTGAACTTGAAGATGGGTTTGGAGCATTTGTTTGTCGTCCCTTCAAAATCATCTGCCTTTTTTCTGTCCCTAGCTCTGGAAACTGGGAGCTGCTCAGCCTAAAGGAGAAGATTTTGCTGCGGAGAAACCAGGATGATGGAGAATTCTGGTAATGGAGCTATGAATCTGGGAGCTCCTCTTCTCCCTAAGTCAGCGCGAAGGCCAGAGCTAATGCTGTAGCTTAACCTGCCATCTTTCTGCTGCCTGCTGAGAGGAGAGATGTGTATGATGCTCTATAACAACGGGAGCGCTTTCTGTTTTTAATGAACAGAGGGTGAAATGACATGGAGCTGCTACCTTGCCAACTCGTGGTAAAGGGGTGTGAGGAGCAGCCTGTATGACACCAGTGCTCTTCTGCGTGAAATCAAGCACACTTTCAAAGAGCAGAGCAAGAATTTTTGTCCAGTCCCTTCTGACTTTAAAGTCTATTTGTCATCATGTTTTCAACACAAACCCAGGCAAAGCTTTGTTCAGGCAAAGAGCATTTGTTCAACTGCTTTGCAATCCCGTATATTTTTGGCACTAGGTGGCAATGTTGCAACCAGTTGCATTATACTTATTCTTTTGCTTGCATTCCCATACTCATCTTTCTCTGCTGCTGTCATGTGTTGGGCCTTTAGCTATGCATTCACCAGTGCTGCATGCTGCTGTTGGAGCAAACATCAACTTCTTTGCTACCTAGGATTGTGCAACACAGAGTAGGGTAGTGCTGGAGAGACCCACTTTTTAACCACCACAGACCAGGCTGCTGACTCAGTTTCTCATGGCGGCCTTTTCACAGGATGTCTCTGCAAGATTTTAAGACCCACTTTGAAGATCTGATCATCTGTAAATTATCTCCCGACCTGATGAGCCAGGAAGATGGTAAGAAGTGGATGTATTCTCTGCAGACTGGGAGCTGGGTCAAAGGAAGCACGGCAGGTGGCAGGATGAATCCCAACACAGGTGAATAGAACTTGGGGGGAGGGGGCACTTTAGGGAATCAGGATTGAGACTTGTCTGTATAATTAGTAAAGAAAGGCTTTTGTTCAAGCAACCCAAAGTTTGGTTCAGGACCCCAAATCCCATATTACATGGTCATAACCAACTTTTACACAGGTGAGGAAGTCTGGCAATGAACAGGTAAGATTGCCCACTTATTCTCCATTACCACAGAAATCAGGCTGCTCCCTAAGGAGGAGCGGAGTGTCTTGCAGTTGTGGGTCTACTGTGGTACTTAGAGGAGGTAGGTTCAATTCTAGTCCATTTGACGTCTGTGGGGACTGCAGCTGCTCAGCAATGGGTCCCGCTCATCTTTCTCTTCCATGTGCAGAATAATTTTTATGTGTACCAGGGCATGTGCCAATGTGCACCACCAAAAGAAACACAAAATCTAGCTGTGAGTTGGCATTTGAGGTTCTCCCGAGCAGCTGCACACGTGCGCATCTTATAGGGAATACTGGTGTTCAGTACTTTGGCAATCGGTACCCCTGGGCTACAGTTCCCACTAAACTGAGGAAAAATTATTCCTTCCTCCCACCCGTTGTTTTGTTTGCTTAGATTGCAAGATCTTTCCCAGTAGGGAAAATCTCGTACTATGTGTTTGTTCAGCACCTAAGAAATGGGGCTCTGACTTTGGTTGGGGCCTCTGAGGGTTACAGATAAGCCACTTCCCCCACTCTGTCTGAAGCAGAGGTGTCACATGGAAACACAATGACCAAACATGGAGGTTTTTATGTTTTGCTTCTCAGACACATTTTGGATGAACCCCCAGTACTGGCTGGATGTTTACCAGGGTGACGGCAGCAAAAGGTCCTTGTGTTCCTGCAGCATGCTGGTGTCTCTGATCCAGAAACCCAGAAGCAAACACCGAAACGACGCACCTCCCCTCCCCATAGGGTTGTCCATCTTCAAGGTGAGTAGAAATCAGCAGTGGGATTGCTTGGCCAGTATGAGAAATTTCCTAACCCTCCAAAGTTAAGGAGAGCTCTGCAGATCCTAGGAGTTATATATCCTGAAAAGTCCAGTCCACTCTGTGCTCTCCCCTCCATCTCTGCCTGTGGCTCCCATTCCTCCAAGAAGCTCTCAGTGGAGTTGGGCCTCTCCAGACATGGCTTTCCTTGCCCTTTTTATTGAGCATGGGATGTGATGTGTGTCTGCAAGGTCTTTGGCAGACTGCAGGGCTGTAAAGAAGCTCCTGCCACCCCAGTGTGAACTGGATTTTGTCGTGCCCAACCCTGGTTCTTGCACGTGTGTGTGTGCATAAACGTGCAGGTGTGCACCAGGGCTGGGGGAAGGGCTACAATCTGCATGGGCAGAGGCTAGATATGGAGTTCTTCTTAGGCTACTACCCATAAGGACAAAATCACATCATGGGTGAAGGGGAGGGGAAGGAGCTAACCCCAGGAGTGATGTTGCAGCCACGTGTAACCTGCTGGTGAATGTGTGTTACAATTTCCCCCTTTATGCCCCAGGCAGAGAGGATGTGAGTCAGTTCCAGCTCCTACTGGTGAGGTTTAGCTCAGGCTGTCAGAGTTTGCTTTTCGCTCTGGAGGTCCCTGGTTGGATCACTGATGTGCCAGCCATCCCCCTTGCAAAGAGTGGCTTGTGTGCTCCCAGCAGCTCTGGGGAAACACAGAGCTTAATGATCGGGGAGTCTGTGCTGCTCCCACTCCTGCAGACTTGAGCTGGCATTATTGGTGCACAGTTGTGCTCAATCGTAGGCTCACTGTGCCTCCGTCGGGTACAAAGCCTCTCCGAGCTCCAGTCACAGCACCAAAGCCCTGTGGGCCACGTTAGCAAGAGGTCCCCTTCTCTAGGGAGCTCCCTCCTGACTGTTGAAAGCTCTGAGGGTTTTAATGGCACCAAGTGTTTCAGCAACCTCAGCTTTACTGGCCCAGGCTAGTGAATGGGCTATGGATGGCCTGGGAAAGGACTTTGAAGGGAGGAATCCAGGCTTGTTAAGCTAAAGAGCCTCATTGAATCTCCTGAGTGGCTTCCGGTTATTAAACTGCATCTGCTATTAGGTGTGACCGAAAGGGCTGAGTCTGAACTTCCTGTCTGATGGATGCCTTCTCTTTTTTCCCCTATAGGTGAGCGCAGAGGTAAGTCCTTCTCCGCCTTCTGTTGATGTCTCATGGCTTGTATCTGTGAGTCCTGCACCCTTGGCCCTGCTAACCACGTAACTCACTTCCAAAATCAGGGCCCCCGTGAACCTGGATTGGTGAAGAACTCACCTTAGCACATGGTCACTCCGGCATATTTGAAATTACCGTCAGGTAGAAAGAGTAGCTGCAGAAATTGGCTCTTTCTGAACTGAGTATTACAGGGCACCATCGGGGACACAAGTGAGATTAAATTTGCTAGCACACGTGGGCCTGACACTGATTAGGAGAGCACTAGTGAGGAGACCCCGGGGCTGGGAGTTCAGTTTCAGTTTTGTATTGAACACCGAGATTAATGCTGAGATGTGTCAAACCGAGACTGTTTTTGGAGTTGGAGCTACAGTGCATCACGGTATTGACAGAGGCATAAAAGCTATGAATGGAATATGTGGTGCATGGAGAGGGGCAGCCCCATGTTCCCTTAGGTGAAAGATTGCTCCATTCGCATGAGAGAAATATGGGGAAAAGGAGATGAATAGCAGCTCCATAATTCGGCATGAGAGTGAAATGTCTGAGCTGTTTTGAGGCACGGCTGACATAAGGAGGCTGAAGTATTTTTGCCTGCTGAATAAAAGCTTTGTAAAAACAAAGGGTGCTGTGTCCTTGAGTAGGACTTGGGGTATCAGCACGTGGAAGCCGTGAAGCTGTATCAAAGACTTAGGGTGGGATTCTTTCCTCACCCCACTATGGTCCTGGATACTTTGTCTTGGTGCAGGCGCTGTGCAGGGCCCCTGCATAAGCGGTCCTTTAAGTCCGTGACCCTCCGCCCAACACCTTTTGTACATGGGGCAGAGCTGAGGAGCATGAAGGGACAAGCTGGGAATGTAGCCTTCAGCACAGGCCGTTCTGGACTGTTCTGGGAAGTGTAGTGCCCAGGGCAGCTCCTGGCTGTTATAATGTTCACTGTGGGGAGGGGTGCAAATACCCCTACAGCAGCCCAGAATAAGAAGAGTGCAAAGGCGGCATAAGGCCACTCTTGTCCCGTCACATGTTCATTTTAAAAACTGGACAATGAGAATGTACCGTAAGGACAACCCAATGGGAGGATGGAAGAGGACGAGCTAGGGCAGGGTTTCCCTAGGCAAGCCCCTGGGATGCTCCACTTGATAACGTCCACCTGAAACCAATGGGAATTTCTTTTGTTTCTTCCCTGAACAGTACTACAAAAGCAACAGAAGGCTGCCGCCAGAATTCTTTGCCACAAACCCCTCCATCAACCAAAGGCATCTCTTCATGAGCAAGCGGGAAGTGACCCAGGATTTCCGGCTGCAGCCTGGCAGCTACGTCATTGTCCCCTCCACTGCAGAACCCCAACAGGAGTCCGAGTTTGTCCTGAGGGTCTTCTCCAGGAAACACATCCTTCGGTGAGAAGATGCCATTCCCTGCTAGTTGCATCTTCTTGGTGCTCCGGGCAGAGGCAGGACACTGGCCTTATCTACACTAGGCGATTTCCCCTTATGTTCTCCACTGCTGCTATGACTGGCTCAGCTCCCTGGTTGGTAGCAGTGGTGAGAACTGTAGTGCAGACAACACCCTTGGTGCTACTGCCTTTTTCCCACCACATCCTGGAGACTTGCTCAGGGCAGGGTTAGCTGATACAGTGCTTAAATGCCACCAGCTGCCTAGAGCCATATTAACACTACTGCTTCCACTAGTGGAGTTGCAGTGGTGAAAGGAAAAAACCCCTAGGCTATGTCTACACTACAGGGTTTTTGCACAAAAACCCGCTGAGCATCCACACCTCAAGAGCATTTTTGCTCAAAAAAAAAGAAAAGAAAAGAAATACAGTAAATTGACAGAACAGAGGGCTTTTGCTGGTAGAGTTATTCCTCTCTCCACAAGGAATAACTCCTTTTTGCGCTATAGCTCTTGCACAAAAAGGCGTGTGTGGACGCTTAACAGAGGTTTCTTGCGCAAAAAGAGCCTATCCGAAAAAGCACAGGTGCCATTCTGTTAATGGCAATCAGAGCTTTCTTGTGCAAGAGCGTCCATGCAGTGTGGACGCTCTCTTGCACAAAAGCTTGTGGCCTTTGTGATGTGCTTTTGAGGTGTGGACGCACTTTTGTGCAAGAAGTTTTTGCACAAGATCTCTTCTGCAAAAAGCTTCTTGCGCAAAAACCCTGCAGTGTAGACAAAGCCCTACTGTAGACACTGCAGCAGTGTTGGGAAACAGAGAGAGGCAGCATGGATGACAGGCAAAGACTCACATGCAATAAGAGAGACAACTCATTTCAAGGACATCTCCTAACATTTCCATTCTTTTCTATTTTCAGTGAAATGGGCGGAAATTCAAGTTTCATCCTTTCCAAGGTTAGTTGGAACCAAGGTGGTAGACTGTTGGAAGCTGTGTTTCAGAGGAGGACTTTGTCTTTCTCCTGTGGCAACAACTGGGGTAGAAGGGTAGGGGATTGAGTTGGAATATGAGCTCCTGGGTTACAGCCCTTTAAGAATGAAAGGCTACATTTTGCTGTATAGACAGAATCTCTATATAGGCAGGTATACATGTTCAGAGCAAGACAGACAGCAGACACTTACTTTCTTTTGCTGTCATACAAACCATTCTTTCTGGTGAGATCATCACAATTCATTGTCATGCTTTCTCTTCCAATTGCCTTCACAGTGTGTCCCTTTTATTAACCTGTGTCCCTTCCCACTCTTCTCCTTTTATGCACCAGCAAAGTTGAAACCACAATGGGAGCTGGACAAGTAATTGCAGAAGTAATGGTGGCCCAGGGAGTGCAGTGAAATTCAGGAAAAATGTCCCAAGTCAGGGATTTTTAAACTCTAGGTCGCAGCTCCCATTGGCTGGAGGTGCACGTAAACAAAGTGTCTCGTGGCCAGCCATTGGCTTGCTCAGAGTTTGAAAACCCCTATCCTAAGGGATTGTACATTGTATATTCATACTTCTGTTTCCTCTGTTAACATTCACTTTTTTGTTCCCTAAAGGAAATAATTGATAAACATGAAGGCAAAGTTTGGGAGGATTTCTTCACTAAGCACTTTGAACAAGTAAGTGTACACGTTACTAGCAAAAGGCAATTCCCCAAGGCCTGTTGCTGCTCTGCCAGGGGATGAGCAATTGTGCAAAGAAAGGTCAGAAGTACTGGGGAAGTTAGAAGCGGGTGGGTGCTGGAGCCTAGTGGGGAACGTAGGAGTTCAGTGTGAGGTACAGCGTTAAGTTCTCTCAAGGAGCTGTGCAATGTATAAGCAGTGGAGAAACACAGCAGTTAGAGAGAAACACTTCCTCAAATTCATAAGTAATCTGCTCACTCTGAGTCTGCTTAGGCTTGTGAAAGCCACTAATTTACATTGGGTGGGCTCAGACAGTTAACATAGGTATTAGCTATTAACTGGAGTTGCTTACATGAGAGTTACTTACTGCAGTAGTGTAGATGTAGCCTAAAAGTCTGAGCTCACAACCCAAGAGTCAATGGGTGTCTTTTTAGGGTAGACAGACTGAGGTTGAAAAGTAAAGGCAAAAGATGGTGAAGACAGGACATGCTGGGAAATCTAGAGGAAGGCAAACTTATTACAATAGCATTTCTCTCCCCTAGCATCCTGAAATAAATGCTGTCCAACTCCAGAGGATCCTGAATAACATGGTCTGGACAAGTAAGTGGAGGAGATCACAGTTTTGTAACATGAATGAGGTGCTAGCTAGAGATGAGCCTGAGGTGGACCCTTAACTCCTGAACCCTGTTCCCCGAATTCTAGGAGTGGAGGAGCTGGTTTGAAAGCCTGGGTCTGAACCTTTTCTGATCATTTAGGTTGCAACTTGGATTCCCCCACACCAGCAAGGGTCTTTTGTCAGAAATTGGTCCAGATATGGCCCAAAACCACAATGCTCAACAATTCTAAGTAATAAGTTGGCTGAGTCCTTTATATTTATGCAGATAAAAGGCTGATGTAGGTGTGGGAGTGAAATGAATAGAATTGAGCAATGGCTTTCTCACGCTAAAACTTATGACACTTTAACAAACTTTCCCATCAACAATGGGGATGAAATCTCAAATATTTGCACAAACTGAAAGTTTGAAAAAAAAATTGATTAGTTGAAACATTTCTTTTTTATTTCAACTTTTTTACTATAATTGGCTTAAATTAAAGACAGAACATAAGAACGACCATACTAGGTCAGACCAATGGCCTATTCAGCCCAGTATCCTGTCTTCCAACATTGCTGAATGCCAGGTGCTTTAGAAGGAATAAAGAACACAGGTAATCATCAAGAGATCCAGCTTCAATCCAGCTTCAAACCAGACAACAAGCAAGTTTTGATAGAAAACATCAGTTAAAATTTTTGGAAATTCAAAACTTTTTTCCAATTTTTTCAAGTAAAACAATTGTTAAAACTGGGCCTTTCTCCTGAAAAATGTTGCAGGCAATAGTATACATTACTGAAAATGTTCTGGTCAGTTCTAGTAACAGGCTTTACCAGCACTAGTCTCTTTCATTGCACCTGTCTGTGAGTGATTAAACATCTGAAGGGTTACAAATTCCTTGCATTTTCTCAATGGTGAATGAAGATTGCTTTCTTACCTTCATTTCAGAAGTGACCCATTTCACACTGTGAAATCTGCAAGGAAACTAACCAAGCCAGCTGAAGTGTCTTTACACTTCTTCAGCAATCAATTTGAAGACATTTGTTTTAGAACTTTACTGTGCAAGATGCATATTTGATAAACAGAGCTGTGATGAGATTACATTACTGTAGAGTAGGGATCTGGGAGCTAAGGTGTCTGCTCTGTGGAAGTTTACAGATAATCTGATTTGCCACAAGATTAGTTTCTGTTTCATTTCATGTAACACATGTATGGCCAGCAATGCCTAGAATTAGGTTGTCAATGATGCTTATGAGTTTAGCAGCTGTCTGTAACGCTAGGTCTAGACTATGGGGCTTTATCAGAAAAAGCTACGAAAATTGCACTCCACAACTTGCGTCGCTTTTTCCAGTCGCTTTTGCGGAAGAGGTTTTTCCGCCATTTGGCCCCATCTCTTTTGGCGGAGCCCTTATGCCTCATGAAACAAGGTATACAGGGCTCCCCGAAAGAGCACGTTTGCTCTTCCGTGTAAAAAAGTGGAAGAACAAACGCATTCCGTGGGTGTGGCGGAGTTTTTGTGCGATACCTCCCACAAAAACCCTGTAGTCTAGATGTATCCTGAGAGACAGAGAGAGAAACACTGAGCACAATGGTTTCAGTTCATTCTGGCTAGTGGAGCTGCACCACAGATGAATTAGGCCCAAGGAGATCAAGTGATTCAGTAAATCCTATTTGGGATTACCATGCGGGGTGTTCTTTAACTGCTATTTCCTGTATTAGCTACAGAGAATGGGCCATATTCTGTTTTTCACCACATGGCTGCAGGGAGCTGCCATTGTCTCCCATGGGAATTACTCCCCGTGCAGCTGAAAGTGAAACCTGGCCCCCTCTGTGACATTTTTACCTTCCCTGGCTTGAATCACAAATGAGGTGCCTTGTAAATCAGATGGACAGTGTCACAAAAGATTTGGGGGGGCATCCTATCCCCAGGGAATTGAATGGCAGTTTCACCACTGAGGTTCAAGGGCAGCAAGCTCAGGCTCTTTGAGTCTATTTTTATGAGCATTGTTCAGCGATTCACTGTAACAGCCCTCTCTTTTCCAGGTCTCCAGAGCTTTCAGCTGAGATTTAGTCTGGATGCCTGCCAAAGTATCCTGGCGGTGCTGGATGTATCCTTTGCCTTCAGTCGTATATTCATTTGCCGCACCTAATACCTTCCCAGAGTTTTATTTTTCCTGGGGGAGGGACACTTGTTGTGATTTCTACACCATCAGGGTATTTCCCTGCCTAACTCCCAATAAGAACAATGCAATCAGGATGAAACGGTGTTGGTAAAGGGTCAGATTCTACTGTCATTGAAATCAGTAGCAAGCCCATAGTGATTCATAGGGAAAACCCCAGAATCATCACCTTTATTGCTGTGTAAAGTTACAGTGACTGAGGTTTTTTTCCACGTTTTGGAATCTCCGCCACTTTACCAAGATACTATCAACCTTAATTCTTCTACTAAGCTTAACACCACCGGCACACTGAGTATTCAGGAATTCAGGCTCCTGTGGAAGCGGCTGCTTTTCTATATGGTACAAAAAGAGTTTATTTACTTCCCTGTGTACTTCTCAATCAGTGTTGGCTAGGAAACCGTTAAAGCCCAAGAAACCTGTCTGATTTTCTGGGTAGCTATGAAATATCATGGGGGAGTGAACTAGATGGGAAAATTGCCTGCCTGTCAAGACTCAGGGTATTACATAGTCCTAAGCAGGGCAGTCACCAGAAGTGAGGCAGGATATACCCCTTTGTAAGAGGTAGATGGCCAGGAAAGATCAGTGCTGGTGCAGCATCTGTTTTCACCGAGGGCGGGGGGAGGGAAAAGAGGGGTTGCTTTTAATTCCTAATTTATCTGCTGTCTATGTGAGTGAGGAATAAGAAAGTTAGGGGCTATGATCCACCAGAGGATTGAGGCATCCAGCCCCTGGAGAGGGTTTATGGTTTTGATCCTCAAGGATATATAGTACTGCTCTCTGGCCCAGAGTTATGAATCTGTTGGCTATGTCTAAGCTGTGTCTAGACTGGCCAGTTTTTCTGGAAAATCAGCCGCTTTTCCGGAAAAACTTGCCAGCTGTCTACACTGGCCGCTTGAATTTCTGCAAAAGCACTGACTTCCTATTGTAAGAAATCAGTGCTTCTTGCGGAAATACTATGCTGCTCCCGTTCAGGCAAAAGTCCTTTTGCGCAAAACTTTTGCACAAAAGGGCCAGTGTAGACAGCTCAGATTTGTTTTCCGCAAAAAAGCCCCGATTGCGAAAATGGCGATCGGAGCTTTTTTGTAGAAAAGCGTGTCTAGATTGACACGGACGCTTTTCCGCAAAAAGTGCTTTTGCGGAAAAGCGTCCGTGTCAATCTAGATGCTATTTTTCGAAAATTCTTTTAACGGAAAACTTTTCGTAAAAGAGATACAAATTAGACGTATTGCAATTGTTAAGGAAGCAGGGATTTAAATCTTCCCCGCTTCATTAGCATAAAAATGGCTGCCGCTTTTTTTCAGCACGGAGCTTTGCCGGGAAAAAGCACCAGTCTAGACACGGATCTTTCGGAAAATAAAGCCTTTTCCGAAAGATCCCTTATGCCTCTTAAAATAAAGGATAAGGGATCTTTCGGAAAAGGCTTTATTTTCCGAAAGATCCGCGTCTAGACTGGCGCTTTTTTCCGGCAAAGCTCCGTGCCGAAAAAAAGCGGCAGCCATTTTTATGCTAATGAAGCGGGGGAGATTTAAATCCCCGCTTCATTAGCAATTGCGATACGTCTAATTTGCATCCCTTTTACGAAAAAGGGATGCAATCTAGATGTAGCCAATGACTTTTGGGGCAACTCTCCATTTCAGAGAATCCCATTTTTAGGCACCTAGCTTGCCCTGTGCATTGGCATTAGGAGCCTGGGTATCTAACTCAGGGTGTGAATTCCACCAGGTGGCAGGGCACTGGAAGTTCAGCATTGCAACACATAAGTCCCTTTGTTCATCTAGCCCTAAATGATTTAGAGAGAGGTCCCAGAGTTCTGGTTCATCTGGGAACAGAATTCTGGATCTTGCTAACTGTAGTCAGGACATATTCTTGCATGTGGGAACACCATATCCCTGCATGAATGCTTCAATACATTGCCAACAAATTCTTTGGGTCCAAATCCTGCACTGACCTTACACCTTGAGAAACCTCACTGGAGTCAGATTGTAAATAAGGACAGACTTTTGGTTTGTCACTTTTCCAGCTACAACTCCCACCTCTGTGGCTCCTTTGCAGAGGAAGTTAATGGAGATTCTCACTTCCCACCAGCTGGAAAAACCTGCTTCTTTCCTAAACTACTACTTCTAAGTAATGACACCTCCTCATTGATGTGCTACACCCATAACAAAGAGGGGTTTGTGTGTAATAAATGAATCTCCCCTTCCAACATACTCAGAATAACTTTTGTTTCTTTCATTTGTTTGACTTTTCTTTTTAATAGGAAGTTTTCCTGAAGAAAGATGTTGCTAGATCAGGAAATCTGAACTTAATGGAATTGCATGCAGCTGTGCAGGAGACAGGTAAGCAGGTCTGGAAAATCCTCTGACTGGGAAAGAGCTAAAAGACTGTGCCAAATACCAGTAAGAGGCAGACAATACACACACTTGCACATTGCTCCATGATGGTTACTACCTCTGGTATGCTTGCTAGTTGCCCTCCCCATTACTGCCTCAGGTTTAGTCTATTTTACCATTGTCACAAGGATCCCAAACCTTGGTTTCTGAAAATGATTTGCAGCATGACGTTTCATTTGAACGTTGTTTATAGTATATCCATGTCTCATTGGCAGCTCTCTACTGGGATAGCAAGGCAATCACTCTATAGTTAATCCTCCATTATAAGCCCTATTTTGAACCTATCTGATCTCTGCAGAGTCATGACTAAGTTCAGTGGAGGGGAAGAAGGGTAGATATTTAAGGGCCTGATTCTGAGCTGGTACAAATCAGGATTGTTCCATCAAAGTCAGTGGAGCTAATCCTGACTCACAGCAGCTCAGGATCTGGCCCTGTGTGTCTGCTAGACAGGCACACCCACTGTAGTAGTGTCAGACTTCATTCCTTTAAGATCTTTTGCCCTGATTATGCCAGGAGAACTACATGAGTGGGCCCCTGCATCTGGGCAGAGCCACACCAACTTCAGTAAGTCTCTGCAAGGGAACAAGGATTCACTCATTCAGTTCTCTTAAGGATCAGGGCTGTTAAAGGCTCACGATTCATTGGCAGTTTGCATGCATCTATTTAACTGAAGTCAATTTGGTTGGTTACATAATATCATAGAACTACAGGGTTGGAAGAGACCTCAGGAGGTCATCAAGTCCCACCCGCTGCCCAAAGCAGGGCCAACCCCAACTAAACCATCCCAGCCAGGGCTTTGTCAAACTGAGATTTAAAAACCTCTAGGGATAGTCATTTGAATAGGTAATATTCAAAACTAGCTATAATAAAGAGGGGAAAGATAAGCTCCAAATCCAAGTACTGCACTTATATACACTAAATTATAAAGGCTGTGCTTTGCGTGTGTTTCCAGGCACAAATATTGCAAGACACTTGGGGTGAAATCACCTGTATTTAGTTGTGTGGCAAAAAGCCAACATGGACTTAGAGAGATTCCCAGACCCTTAACATGGTGTGGGGATAATCATGGAATCATAGAACACTAGAAAAGGAAGGGACCTTGAGAGGTCATCATATCCAGTCCCCTGCTGTCATGGCAGGACCCAATACTGTCTAGACCATCCCTGACAGGTGTCTGTCTAACCTGCTCTTAAATATCTCCAGAGATGGAGATTCCACAATCTCCCTAGGCAACTTATTCCAGTGTTTAACCACCCTGACAGTTAGGAAGTTTTTCCTAATGTTCAACCTAAACCTCCCTTGCTGCAGTTTAAGCCCATTGCTTCTTATCCTATCTTCAGAGGCCAAGGAGAACAATTTTTCTCCCTCCTCCTTTTGATACCCTTTTATATACCTGAAAACTGCTATCATGTCCCCTCTCAGTCTTCTCCTTTCCAAACTAAACAAGCCAAATTCTTTCAGTCTTTCTTCATAGGTCATGTTCTCTAGACCTGTAATCATTCTTGTTGCTCCAGTAATTTTCCCTACTAGTTTCAGCCAGATACTCTTTTTCACCTCTTTACCTAAACTCTGTGTTATACTGCTGCTAAACAGAGGTAGTTGCACTGCAGTGGCAGGTAGAGGCAATAGTTATATTGTTTGCCATATGTTCTGTGGATGTTGTGAGTAGAGATGATCCAGTTTTTGATTCTCTCCATGTTTGGAATCATGTTTGGGGAATGGAATTTGGACCTGAAGTACTGGGTTAGGTCAGCCCCTCATTGGGAGACATAGTTAATGCTGATCAAACACATTGGTGCTGGAGAAGAGCAAAGTCCTGTTAGTTTTGCAATTACCCTGTGATGCTCTTGATGGCGGTAAGGTGCCCTATTGTTGTCTTTCTTCCTTTCTACAGGGATTTCACACAGCAACCAAGTCTGTAACCTGATGGTGATCAAATATGGCAAAACTGACATGAAAATCAGCTTTGAGAGCTTCTTCTGCTTCATGCTGCGCGTGGAGATCATGGGAGGTATGGACATTCTGCAGCACATCGCTGATGCAGGAATTGACAGCAAGCCTGCAATGTCTCATAGACTCATAGACTCATAGACTTTAAGGTCAGAAGAGACCATTATGATCATCTAGTCTGACCCCCTGCACAGTGCAGGCCAAAGAATCTCACCCACCCCTCTTAGAATAATCCTCTCACCTATGTCTCAGATATTGAAGCCTTCAAATACTTTGAAGGCCCCAAGATGCAGAGAATCCTCCAGCTGTGATCTGTGCCCCATGCTACAGAGGAAGGCGAAAAATCTCCAGGGTCTCTGCCAATCTACCCTGGAGGAAAATTCCTTCCTGACCCCAAATATGGCGATCAGCTAAACCCTGAGCATGTGGGCAAGATTCACCAGCCAGACACCCAGAAAGTTCTCTATAGTAACTCCATTGACCTATTTCCCACTGATAAAGAATGGTCAATTAGTTACCAAGATCATGTTCTCAAACCATCCCCTTATCATAGAACTGGAAGAGACATCAGAAGGTCATCAAGTCCAGCCCCCTGCTCTAGGCAGGACCAATCCCATCTAAATCAACCCAGCCAGGGCTTTGTCAAGCCAGGACTTAAACACTTCTAGGGATGGAGACTCCACTACTTCCCTAGTTAACCCATTCCAGTGCTTCACTACCCTCCTAGTGAAATAGTTTTTCCTAATATCCAACCTGGACTTCTCCCACCATAACTTGAGACCATTGCTCCTTGTTCTGCCATCTGTCACTACTGAGAACACTTCAGGACGTCGAAGGCTGCTGTCAAATCCCCCCTCCCTCTCCCCTTCTCCAGACTAAACAGACCCACCCCCCTCAGCCTCTCCTCATAGGTCATATGCTCCAGCCCCCTAATCATTTTGGTTGCCCTCCGCTGGACCCTCTCCAATGCGTCCACATCCTTTTTGTAGTGTGGAGCCCAGAACTAGACACAATACTCCAGATGTGGCCTCACCAATGCTGAATAAAGGGGAATAATGACATCTCTGGATCTGCTGGCAATGCTCCTTTTAATGCAACCTAATATGCCATTAGCCTTCTTGGCTACAAGGGCACACTGTTGACTCATATCCAGCTTCTCATCCACTGTAACCCCCAGGTCCTTTTCTGCATAACTACTACTTAGCTGATTGGTCCCCAGCTTGTAACTATGCTTGGGATTCTTCCGTCCCAAGTGCAGAACTCTACACTTGTCCTTGTTGAACCTCATCAGATTTCTTGTGGCCCAATCCTCCAATTTGTCTAAGTCACTCTGGACTCTATCTCTGCCCTTAAGCGTATCTACCTCTCTCCCCAGCTTAGTGTCATCCACAAACTTGCTGAGGGTGCAATCCATCCCCTCATCCAGATCATTAATAAAGTTATTGAACAAAACCAGTCCTAGAACCAAACCTTGGGGCACTCCGCTAGAAACCGATCGCCATCCTGACATCGAGCCTTTGATCACTACCCGCTGGGCCCGGCCTTCTAGCCAGCTTTCTATCCATCTTACCGTCCATATCCCAGATATGGGGCCTGGTTCTCTTCTCATATAAACTACCAGTTGAACCTCTGTAGTCTGACACCCTCGGGACCTGACCAGTGCCAAACCAGAGAATTTGCTGGACCAGGGGAGGTCAATATTGTCTGGTAGCATTACCAGCACTTCCACTGCTCACTAGGCTCTTAGAGGACATTTAGGTGTAAATTAGAGCTAAATAGCAGCACAGAACACTGAGAGCCAGGACTGGTGGCTGTAAACAAACTTTATGGGACTGTGGGAAACTTGGCCACACCCATGATAACTGGCCATCTGGCTAACTAAAATCATGCCAGACCATGGATGTTGCCAGACCAGAGAGTGCCAGACTACAGAACTTCAGCTTATAGTGAAAAGCAAGAGGAACCCCACTGACACCAATGGAGTGAATTAGAGGAGAATCAGACTCTCAGCCCCTATCTTGCCTCCCAGCACCTTTCCCAGACTCCCTAGACCAGGGCACTTGGAGAGGTTTGGTTCTGTGGAGAGAGCGCGCCTGGAACTGCAGAGTGAGCTTGTGTAAGGAGTTAGGGGAATAAGAGATGGAGGTTACATAGAAAGCAGGAGGACCTGTGATGTGTCCTAGCCAGCACTGCCATAGAAAAGGAAACCTCCTGATTCCCCTGTGGCCCAAATGATCACAGCCGCATGAGGCAGCTCAGATGTCACCCTCGCATGTCACTGGTGAATGGCCCCGATGCACCACATCTGCATTTCACATGGTGCTGGGTGGGACAGGGGTTCCCCTGCATCTGCTAGAGGCTCTGCATTTCAGTTCATTCCCGGGCTGGTGAGTCAGAGATGGCCTTGTCCCTTGGCCATGAAATTCATCAGATTAATTTTCCTCTTTGTATTTCTTCCCAGAGGCCTTTCGCAACTTAACTAAAGATGGCAAAGGGATCTATCTCCAGGAATCTGAGGTAAGGCCATGCACTTGCCCCTCCCCTGAAGTACAGCTCCGTGCCTTAGACCACTTTGCCTGCTGTTGTAAAGGGCATATTAGAACAACAGGGACTGAATTTCCACTGCTGTGCACCTGTGCATGCTCATTTGCTCCTGTGTGTAGTGATTGTAAAATGCTACATCATTAACCAGGCTTCACAACACCTCTGTGAGGTAGGGAAGTGTTAGCCTGCCCCTTTTATATGGGGGAAACTGAGGCACAGAGCAACTACAGTGACACATGCCGAAGTCCCTAACCTTTGCATTAGCTACAAGATCATCTGCCTAGAGATCCTGCTTTCTTGGAGGGCTGACTGGGGCTATAAAATGTAGTGAATGGCTTAGGTATGTGCGTGTGGTCACATCCCTCTCTGCTGCTGAATGGAATCTGCACCTGTGGTCACAGGCTCCTGACAGTAACAGAGCTGCTTCCCTTGCACTTTTAGGATGGGCGATGTCTTTTGGGATCAGAAGAGCACAGATCTTATCTCCTGCTCTATAGGCCTAATTCTGAACCCACTGATATAAATGATAAAGCCCCAATAGACTCAAATGTGAGCAGGACTGGAAATCCCATACTGTGTTGGCACAGAGAGAAAACCCACAACCCCACTACTCAGTTGTGAATGGAACCAAAGTCCACATGGATGTGCTAATTCAACCCATTTTCCTTGTTCTTTCACAGTGGATGACGATGATGCTTTATTCCTAAAGCCAGATGATGGTGAGGGAATGAGTTGGACCTAGACATGCTGGCCCCTCTCAGAACATAAGGGGCTGTTTCTTATCAACATGCTATACATTCTGGATACTTTGGGCCAACCCTACAATCCTCACTCATGTGAGCACTCCCAGGTCAGCCAGCGGGTTGGCTGAAGTGCATCAGGGCAACCAAAGCGAATATGGGTTGCTCTTTCCATCTGGAGAGATAACACCCAGTCTGGGAGCAGATTGGATCAAAAGACCGCAGAGGCAGTGAAATGAAGATGGGTGGCTATTTTTAATACATCATTTCCAAAGGAGATTATTGAGGTTGCAAAGGCAAGCGCTCAAAAGTTAGGAAATGCCAGAATTAAGTTTGTCTGTATAGCCTTTTAGTCCCCTTGTGTATATTCCTCACGAGTCGGTCTTTCAGGAACACGGCATATGTCTGGGTTAAATGACTTGCTCAGCATCACACAGGGGCTGTATGGCATAGATGGGACAAAATCCAGTCCTGCAAAGTGGCATTCAGCTACCTGGAACTTTCTTGTCCTGCAACTCCCTGCCTCTCCAATAAAGAACCTTCCAGCTCCGCTACTGTTAAAGCAGGGGTCCTACAGACAGCAACCTCGGGCATGACACAATCGTGACTCACCTCTAGAGCAAGTCCAGCCTGGGCACTGAATGAGCCAGGCATAGGTGACCACTTCTCCTGTAGCCGGGGAGTGATCGGAGGGGAAGGGATGTGTTCATCAGCGAGGCCACTGGCAGGCGAGAGGCATGGGGGAAGGGGCTGCTGGGAAGCCAGTGGGTGCTAAACACCCACTAATTTTTCCCTATGGGTGTTCTAGCCCTGGAAAACCACTTGGTTGGTCCCTATGAAGCTAGGGGTTATGTCTGGGGGAGAGGGAATGAGGGACTATGTGATCGGGTAATTAAAGACTGTATCATAATGTATATGCACAAGGAGGTCACGGCAAGTTTGCACAGACAGCCTCACTAATGCTGTGTGTGTGTGTGTGTGTGTAAAATAAATAACACAGGGAACTGAGCCAAATTTGGATCCTGATTGCATATGCATTACCTCAGTAAAATCCATGGAGGACCACATGTGCAATGAGATTAGAACAGGTCCTTAATTACATGCCACTCTGGATATATATAAAATAACTTGTACTTGATTAGCTGGACTAGTTAAAGTACAAAGCTTGATCCCTCAAGCAGTTACATTCTGTTTCTACAGTTATGGTTAGTCTGCTTCTATGCAGTTATTCTAATTTAAATTATTTTTGTTACAATATTTATTTTTGTACTGTTTGTATCCTGTTCTATTTTTTATAGACCACATTTCTGCTGGCGTGGCCTGCTGCAGTGGACAGAGAACAGTGGTTAGGTCTCTGCGGCGTGCCCACCCCTGGGTTAGTAGAGATGTACAGGATGCATAGAAAATGGCAGGCTTTCCCAGCATAGGTGTCATGTCAGAGATTCCACACACAACCCACCCCCCTTCCCGGTTCTTCCAGCAGTTCATTGTGGATTGGGACCTGACATTACAGAGGAGTAAACCCTATCAGCTCATTGTCATGTAAAATGTGACCATGGTGAACAGGAATCAATTACTACTGGGGGAGTTTGTCAAAATTAATAGGATTAAGTGCTGGGCATGGTTTGAATAGCCTCTTGCATCTTTATCCTTAGAATTGGGGTGGGGGACTCATTTCCCAGGTGGTTATGTTGTACAGTGGCATGATTGTTGTCTAGATCCAGTCTATTTTATACATATTTATTGTCTCCCCATTTACTGCTGAGCAACATAATTGCAGGGAGATTATTTTGCTATTGATTATCTGATCCAGAAAAGGAACAGAATTCATCTGTGCCATGTATCACCAAGCATTTGTAACAATAAACTACACTGAACCATGTGACTTGCTCTTACACAATTGTAAAGAATGTTTTACTGGAGTTATTATCCTCAAACATGCACAATTCAAACGGCATTATCTGGATCACAATAAAATGTTTTGGCAATGGTGCATACTTGTGTGTTGTAAAGCTTTTATATCACTCGCAGAGTAACATTTCCTGGGTAATTCTGAAGATCTATTACTCCTCGTTTACAATGTGCTTCTTGGAAAATTATATAAAAGGTTTCTGAAGGATGCATTCATTTGTAACCACCAACATTTACAGAGATGCTGATCTTTGCAATGAGTGGTATTGCTACGGCAGATGGGTAGGAAGGAGCGGAAGATTGGAGTGGATGCCTCAGAGGAATAGTAGATAGAGAACCTTTAATGAAAAGATTTGAATGGTTTGCCTTAGAGAGAAAGAGCAACCTGAGACATGATACAGGGATACAAAATAATGGGTAGTGTAGAGAACGTGACTAGCAATGATCTTTCTGAGCACAAGGGCAAGGAGACATTACATGAAACTGAAAGGGGGCAAGTTTCCCTTTTTACATGTACACACTTAGCCGGTGGAGCTCATTTCCACCAGGTCTCACAGCATCCAAGAGCTCAGCAGCATTCAAGAAAGGGGTAGAGCATTTTAGGTATGACAAGAAAACTCAGATTTCTAATCGCAAGGATTTTTAAAAAACTTAAACAAGAACAGTGGAAGGGACATAAAGCCTTTGCATCAGAGCCCAAGTGAATTATTAATTGGGGGGGTTAGAAGGAAATTTCCCCCAGGGTCAGGTTATCCCATTACAAATTACTGCATGGTTCCTTGCAACCATCATAGGCCTCTGTTGGGGTATGTCTACACTACAGCGCTAATTCGAACTAGCATGTCCACACAGAGTGGACCCTGAACCGGGGTTAAGAATGGCCGGAAGCAGTGCCGGCAGGGCATCAGATGAGGAGCTGCTGTCTCAGGCTAGCCGAGGGCTGTGCTTAAAGGGACCCGACCCTCACCCCGGACAGACAGTTCTCAGGGGGGCCCCGCTTGCAAAGCAGTCCTGTCTTGGATTGCCCGGAGTACCCACACTGGGCACATCACAGCACTCGGCCATCAGACCGGCTGCACTTGCCGCAGGCTGTCATCTGGGGAGAGGGGACAATTGGGGGGCTGCAGGAGAGGTTCCACCCCCAGAAGCCCGCAGAGCCAGCCCAGCCCTCCCCATCAGGGGCTCGTACCCCCTTCCTCCCTTACCTCCTTCCACTTATCCCTCCTTAGCCCCCCTTCCTGATGTACAAAATAAAGGACAATTGTGTTCAAAAATAGAATCTCTCTTTATTGAACAAAACTGGGGGAGACTGGGAAAAGGAGGTGGGAGAGGGGAAGAGAGAGGCTGGGGGAGGGGAGGACAACTAAAATGATCAGAAGTTTGGAACAGGTCCCATATGAAGAAAGGCTAAAGAGACTGGGACTTTTCATCTTAGAAAAGAGGAGACCAAGGGGGGATATGATAGAGGTCTATAAAAGCATGAGTGGGGTGGAGAGGGTGCATACAGAAAAGTTCTTCATTAGTTCCCATAATAGAAGGACTAGAGGACACCAAAGGAAAGGAATGGGTAGCAGGCTTCGAACTAATAACAGAAAGTTCTTCTTCACAAAGCAAAGAGTCAACCTGTGGAACTCCTTGCTGCAGGAGGCTGTGAAGGCTAGAACTAGAACAGAGTTTAAAGAGACGTGTGATCAAGTCATGGAGGTTGGGGCCATGGAGTGGTATTAGCCGGGGGGTAGGAGTGTTCGAAGGCTGGAGAGGGATGGCACGAGACAAATGGCTTGGTCACTGTCTTTGGGCCATCCCCTCCAGGGTCCCTAGGGTTGGCCACTGTTGGCAGACAGGCTACTGGGCTAGATGGACCTTTGGTCTGACCCGGTACGGCCATTGTAAGCTCAGGGCTCAGGGGCGGGGGTCTCAGTGGACCACCTTGATTTTCATGCAAACCTGCTCCTGGGTGGCCAGGCTGGCAGCTTTCCTGCCCTAGATAATCGCTTTCCTGTGCCTAGTGCGGAGGTCGTGGACGAGGTCCACGATGTCCGCACTAGACCAGGCTGGTGCCCTTCTCTTGCGGTCCTGGGCAAGCTCCAGGGAGCCGCCAGCCTGTTCCCGGGAAGAGGGGGAGGGCTGGGGGGCATCGGGTGGCTGGCTCGAGCCGTGCCAGGTGCAGGGTCTGCTGGCTGGGTGCTGGCAGGCTTGCACCTAGCACGGGCACCGTAGCCAGCCCGTGCCCCTTTAAGGGATCCGGGGCCGGGAGGAGGGCAATAGAGTTTCCCTGGTGTTGGCCAGAGTGGCCACCAGGGAAAGCTGGGGAGGGCTAGCCTCCCACTAGTTCGAATTAAGGGGCTACACACCCCTTAATTCGAACTAGTAAGTTTGAACTAGGCTTAGTCCTCGTACAATGAGGTTTACCTAGTTCAAACTAAGCGCTCCGTTAGTTCGAATTAACTTTGTAGTGTAGACATACCCTTGGAGACTGGGTCCTGGAGTAGATGGACATTTGATCCAGGCTGGCAATCCTGACCTTTCTGTTTTTGTGCTATCAATTCAAATCTAGGTCAGAATGCTAGGACACCTGCCCAAGGCAGCCTTCACCTGCCAGTATCCTCTCAGAGTCCTGTGTGTGTGTTGGGGGCGGTGCCTCACTTAGTCTGAGTCCATTCCTCCTTTACGCCATCAGTCATTAGTTCTGTGTCTATCATAGAGGACCCAGCCAAAGTGCTGAGGTTGTAACAAGAGCCCTTTTACGGTAAAACCAGTCAGAAGGCCCATGGCTCTAGCACGGGGTAGACATTATTCCTGTCTCTAGCTATTCCTTCTATTGCTGGTCCACTCCACTGGTTTTGAGCTCAGGGACCCTGTTTGAGCAGTTAGACCCAATGCTTGGCTGCTCCATACCTTATCTCCTCTAGTTTTCCTCCGGATTCTCATTCTAGTGCTCTCACTTGGAATGCCAACTTTCCCAGCAACAACTTGTCAATCTGTTCAAGGGAGCTTCTCTCTCTGGTGGCCAGTCTGTCTTTGTGCCTTTAAGCCCTTTTATCTTTACAGCTGTTTTGAGGGCCTCTCAACCAGGCCCAGATGAGCAAGCAGTTTTCATATTAACCCGGTCGGAGGCAAGGCAGTTTGGAGTCGGTACACCCTATGACACCACTAGGCAGCCTTCAGACACTGAACACTTCTGGCCAGATATTGTAAGTTTGAGTTCCCAATTTGAGTGCTATTGGTTACAGCTAGGGATTGTGGAGCTGGAGAGCTGAGTCCTTTTCCTGGTTCCCCTTCACACACTGTGTAATTTTGGGCAAGTTATTTCTTTGTGCCTCAATTTTCTCATTTGTAAAATGGGAGTAAAACTCATCCACCTTTCTTAAAAGCACTTGAAGGTCCTCGATGGAGGGCATTGTATGCATGCCATCAGTTGTCACAGACCATCACTGTGTACCTTGACAATGGAGTTCAAACGGCAACAGGATCTATGGGGGAGAATACAGATTTTTTTCATTACAAGATTTTTCATTAGTAATTCATGGGACTATTGCCACGAGTTATACAAAGCATCACTAGATGGTGGTCCATCCTTATAGGGAAGTCTGCAAACACAAGGAAGGACCTGTGAGTTCTGGAGAAACATGTTTCCCTTAGGCTAGGTCCACACTACAGCTTTTTCTGATGGGTTTTTTTTTTGGAAGAGGCTTTTCCGAAATTTAGCCTGTCTACACTGGGTCAAATTTCAGAAAATCCCCCTCTTTCGGCAGAGCCCTTCTTCCTCTTGGAAATAGGAAGACAGGGGCTTCTGAAAGATCGTGTTTGTACTTTCGCAAAAAAAAAAGCAGAAGAGCAAACGTGTTCTCTGGACGCATCTCAGTTCAATGCATTAACAACAGGCTCATTCTGTCTTTCTGTACCAGAAAGCCCTCTCAGCTTTGAGTTCATCACACTGGTATGAGCCCTGCTTTCTCAGGGGCAGTCTCCCCTCTCTCTAGGTTCATCTACACTGACCCCCACTGGTAGGGGCATGGCGGCTATGTCTAGCAACATACCAGAGTGAAAACGGCTGCAGCCACACTGCAATGTGCAGCTGCATCAGTGGCGCTAGAACTATTTTTAGGGTCGGGGTGCTGAGCTGCGCCCCTCCCCCAAAACCTTTTCACGCCCTTCACTGCCCCAGGCTGGGTCACACCTAGAGTGGCCAATTCAACTAGATGGACCAGATGCCTTTAGCAGCAACTGTGTCCGGTTCAGGAGAGTTGGCAACCCAGCCACAGCTCGAGGCGGCTGCAGAACCCCAGGTTGGCGGCAGGACCTGGAGCGGCAGCGCAGCCTCCAGGGCCGATGGCTTGGACCCCATTGACAGCGAGCTGCAGAGCCCGTGTGGGCAGTGGACGATAGGACCCCAAGGGGTGCTAAAGCTGGT